CAGGGAAGTAAACCACAACAAAATCGGTTCAAGAACTCCCTGAAACTAAGTGGGTTCACTAGGCCCCTCCCTGCCAGAATAAACAAAGCCAAGCTGGAAAGAAGACTGAGATCAGACCAGGGGCCTGGAAGAAGCAGAAACCAGTCAAGTTGCCAGAAGAGACCAGAGTCACTTGGAAAGGACGCTCTCCAACCTGCTGAGCTGCCTGCAGGCTGTACAAGGAGCTCCAGGTTCCCAGCTTCTCTGAGCTGTCACCCATGCTGGGGTGGGCTTTGGTGATGCAACTGTCTTGGAGTCATTTCTGGTCCTGTAAGTAACCCCTCACCCGTATTCCTGTAAGTAACTCCAAAAAACTCATGGTTCACCAAGTTGGATTTTAGTGGTATCCATACCACTAAATGGTCTGCCGTGAGTTCCCTATCTAGGGTGAGTAGACAAGTGTTTTGTCTCCCCAGCAAACACTTTGTCACACAGCAGAAGGCGGCCACTATCTCACTTACCATTACTACCTAAAAGGAGACAAAAGAGACCTCAGTGAGACCCTGTTCAGAGCGTGAACTATTTCAGTAAACTAAAAGCGGAGATACTGAGAATGGAAGCCTGTGCTGTGGAGGGCTGTGTGTAGTAAAGGCGGCACGGGCTGTTGTGCTGGAATGTTCCTGGAAATCAGCAAAACAAGAAAAAGATAACCAGAGAGACTGGAATGGGAACATGTATTTGCCTAATCTATGATGAACCAGGAGGTAAGCATCGCTTAGAAGGCCCCCCACAGGTTGGGAGAGACTGTTCAGGACTGGAGCGGTTTTTAAAAGGACAGGAAGAAGAAGCAGGTGAGAGCCCAGGTTATCAGCGTGGCAGTTCTGGAGGAAACCAGCTAAGGGATGGCAGGAGGGACTTGTAGTGCAGTATCCTGGGAGGGCAGGAGGCCATTGGGGATGAACAGCCAGCATCTAGATATGAAAGCCATGGGGCTGGAGCCGAAAACAATCCCATCTATTGTACCAAGTCTCGGAGGCCTAACTGTGGACGATGTCGAACATGGGGGCATCTAAAAAGTAAGTGGACAGGATGTGAAGAACCGTGACCCGGCCCGTGGGCGATGGTAGAAAGAGCAGCAGGGTGATTGTGTGTAGGGGAGCAATGGAGCCCGCTCCAGTTCCCACACACGCACACGTATCCTTTCATGATCTCCTAGGGCATGCTCTGTGTTTCCCACCTGCCCCAAGTTCAGTTTCCACAGCAGGGAAAAGTTAGGGGCAAGAGCTGCTGCTTCTGCCTCTCTTGCTTCTGTCTCTGTCCCAGGTAGGCTGGGTCTTGCAGATTGATGTCACAGCACACCTCTACCCAGATCCGGAGTCTGTTTTCATTCCTTCTCCATGAGATGGGAATGACTAATGGGAAACAAGAGAGAAGGGCACAGACGAGAAGCCGAGGGAGAGAGCTGCCTTCCCACTCTGGGCCCTTGCCTCAGGCTAGTACCCTATTCCACTCCTGGCCTGTGCTCCTGGCAAGTACCACCTGCACCTGGCTGCCCAGCTCCTCCTTTGTGCTAGCCAAAAGACAAACACCGAGGCAGCCCTTGGCTGTGTAGCAGCCCACTCCTGGAGGCAGGTGTCTCCGTAAGTGGCATCCAGTGCAGCATTTCTCCATTTCCTGGGTTTCCTTTCAGGTTACCTGGACATAGTGGAAAGAACACAGAATTGTGGCCAATCAGAATGCACGTAGATTTGGGCTTTGCTAATGACTGGCTCTTTGACCATGGGCAAGCCCTTCTGTGAGCTCTTCCACAGAGAGAATAGAAATATGTACTCAGAAACAGTCACAGACAAGTGTTCCTTGCGGCATGGAAGTAGGGCAGGGGGCTATGCCAGCCAAGTGGCAAGCCCCAGGAAGACTGAAATGGCTGGATCAAATGCCATGACTGGCACTCCAGGCCCACAGATGTGGGTGGCCCAGTCCTTAGCTCCCTCACTGGAAGGAGAACTGGTTTGTAGAGGAAGCCCCACCCCCACCCCTGCCGCAGGTGTGTGCTGAATAAATGAATGAGGGAATGAATGGAGAATGCCCAAGGTCAGACACTGGGTCAGACACACGGAAGCAACCTGATGGCAATAGGGGCCCCCAGCTCCCTCTGCTGGGCATCCCATAACTGGTTCGAGCCCCCAGCCTTGCTGACGGGCCCCACAAAACTCAGCTTTGTTCCTGCGGCATTGCTTGACTTGTAATTATATGCAGCTCTCTCTGCGGTTGGTTGACTCACATCGCCATCCTGTTTTCTAGGTTCTTCGAGGCTTTCGGTTCCTCTTGCTTCTCAGTGTTGGGTGCCCACCCCAGTGCTCTCGTGGGGTTGACACCCAGGGGATGCTTGAAGACTGAGTGCCTACAGTTCCTCCCTCAGATACTCAGTCAGCTTCTGAACGCTTAGGGACTTTAAACTACCCAGGTCCCAGCAGCCCCACCCAGGGGCCAGGACTCGGCTAATCCTGTAGCAGTGTGTCCAGGATCCCTGACGGGACACATTACCCGGGTCCTTTGGCTTCCTCGCCCTTTCTTCTAGAGGCTGAGGCTGGCATAACCCCTAGTGCCTTGTTGTATGTGACCCTGATGTAGCCCTAGCACTACCTACTATTTTTCTGCCAGCTTCTTTATTTTCTTCAAGTTTCATGTTAATAAATAATGATAATAAAAAAGCTATTTTTTTTTCTTTTTGCACATACTACCATCTCGGACACAGACCTTACATTTATTAATGAGATTGAGCACGTGCAACCATGTCATGGGACAGATATGATTCTTATACCTCTTACAGATGACAGCATTCACGTCAACCTGCCGAGGTCACACGTCAGGAAGAGAGCCGTCCTCCGCTCCACACCTGCCTGTGCTCTGTGTGGGCTGCGCTTTCCCCTTCACCACCCCAGGTCTTCCAGGTTCTTACTCAGCACCTGGCCTCAGCGGGAAAGGGCCCTTCCCCCACTGGCTTCCCTTTTAAATCATTGACTCGGGAGAGCTAATCTTCTGCTCCAGAGTGTGTAATTAACAAAGACTAGACAGACTAAAAACTCCATGCCCCACTCCTTATCTGCCTGCGGGGGAGCTAGACCCCTCCTGGGGTGCTCTCTATTCCTCTGCCAAGGCTCTGCTTCTCCTAGTAACCTTGTTCTGAGGTTCTAGGGTCTGAACACATCCCAGCCCTATGGACAAAAACACCAGTTGGCTGCATCCACTGGCAGGAATGCAGCGGGCCTTGTAGGCCCCTCCCCTCATCATTTCTGAGTCCCGGGAAGCCCTGGTCGGGCCCGCGGGGGCTGGGGGTGGGGAGGAGGGTGGACAGACTGCGGGAGTGAGAATGGGTGATACAGTGGTTGTGTGCGCGATGGAATGGGTTTGAGTACCTGTTTGTGTCCCCTGCCGTGGCAAGGTTGGGTGCAGGGGGAAGACCTCTGCACACTGGTGAGAGAAACGCCCAGCACACTGGGCTGGACCCCGCCAGCACAGCACTTACATACCCCTGGGCTTAGGCTCAGGTTGGCCCTAGAGATCCTGGCCTCCCTCTGTGGGTGGAGCCCCCCAGTCAGCACTGTGGGGTGGGACAGTGGAAACTTTACCCCAGGAGACATGGGCCACAGACCCCTCACTGATCCAGAGCCCCTGGAGAAGAGCAGGAAGTGGACACAGGACCTGTGAGCCCTCAGCAAGGGAATGCTGCTCCAAGTGTGTGGAAGCCACCCAGGCCCACAACCCTTCTCCTGTAGCCCTGTAACACCTTGTACCCTTGACAGCTTGGGAAGATGACTGGGGTGCCCCTGCCCATCCCCCTCCCCGGAGCCCAGGGGCTGCTGAGGCCCCATGTTGTGGGTGTGTCCCCCCCAAGCCGAGGATCCACCGCTGGTCTCTGGGTACAGAATGCCAACAGTGTGGGGCCCAGGGGCAGTCTTGAGAACCTGTACTGCCAGCAGGGGTGAAGGGACCCAGGAGGAGCCAGCAAGCCTCCAAGCCCCATATCATCCGCCTTTTAAAACCTCAGCCAACACCTTCCAGGCCTGCAGCTCCCCTGCTCCCACCTAGATTTCCGCCAGGAACCCTTGCCATGCCTGGAGGCAATGATCCCTGAGTCTGAGGTCTCCACACTTGAACCACATGTGTGTGCCCATGCTTCCAGGCCTCCCTGGCCCCTCCCTGTGAGGGAAACTCTTAAGTTAGGATTTGCAGATACCTCAGAAACCTGTTCTAGGAAGCGCCTAAGTTTACTGCAGGAGGATTGCATCTATTATATCCTACTCCCTTCTACTTGTTGCCGAAGGGACCTGGATTTCTTTGTGTGGATGTCCTCCCCTGCACTCACACCCTCTCCCACCATTACTGGGGGAAACTGAGGCTGGGCACATACACTTACTTATCCAAACCCATTCCATCACCAGAAACCACGCCCCTTACTCGTTGCCAAGTCCTGGCACCCCTCCCCCCCAAGTTTTCCTGATTCCAGAGGCTTTCTTGACCTCTTCCTGGCCCTTGTTAGATATCTCCCAAGCCTTTCCAGTGTGCAGGCATGCTGTGGGAATCCCAGCCTCTGCCTCTACTACTGGCTGGGGACTGGTCAAGTTACTGAACATCTCCCTCTCCTCCTGCCTGGGTTACTGAGCTGAAATAAGACGTGGACACACTAAGTGCTTAGTGAAGAGGAGCCGTCCCTGGTTTTCTGTCTGTAAATGACTCCTCTTATACTTGGTCAGGGGACCCAGGGAACTGACCCCTTTGCTCTCCCTCAGGGACTCTGCAGAACACCATGGAGACTCAAGAGGCTGTCTGCCATAGAAGCAAAGAACTCAGTTTGCCTCGGGTAAACGCGCCACTTCTGAGAAGTCTGTTGGATGCTCAAAGTGATGGGGCTGAACTACAAAAGAGACTCCAGGAAGTTGTGGAGGTCTAGCAGCCAGGGATTATTAACAGGAGGAATCAAGGAGTCCTACTTTGGGAGGAGGAATGAGAAGGGGCAAGAGTCATCTTATTGCCTTTATTTCGCTGTCTGCCCAGCTGACCCCACTATAGGGCACAGGGCCAAGCTTGTACACACTCATGCTCTCTGTGCAGGCAAGCATGTGCACAACACACACATACATACCCCCCTCACTCACACACACGCACGCTCGCGCACACACACACACACACATGTACACACACACATCTCTGGCTCTGTGAGTCAGTCTCTGGGAGGTGAGGGCTGCTCCTCAGCCTGCTCCTGCCTGCCCTTTTACAACAGCACCAAGGGCAGGGGTAGGCCAGGGCCCTCAGCCCCCAACAAGTCCCTGTGCAAACTGGAGGTACCAGCTGGCTTCAGGATGGGGCTCCATACTTCCCCGTTCCCAGAGTCCCCTCCTCCACTTCCCGGGGGAGGGAATACTCTCTGCTTACCTGGTGGGGGCAGACCCCTGCCAGGGCTGGGGCCTGAGTAACCCAGGCTTACCCCCACCCAACCCTACCAGGACCTCCACTACTGAAGCACAGCCAAATCTGAGTTGTGAAGATTCCCCACTGGAGAGCAGGAAGGCCTGGGCCCCGAGGCATCTGGGGAGGGGTCAACACCCCCTCTTCTAATCCATCTTCAATATGAAGAGGTTTGGGGCACACTTCCTGGGAGGGAGCACAGGCCTGGAGAAGTCACAGCAAGGGTCCTCTCCAAAACTTCCATCTTCTGGGCCACAGCCAAAGGCCAGACATCCAAAAGTCCAGCGGGCTGGTCAGAATCCTTGTGCAGTCCTGGGTGGGGGGACACTCCCTCCCCCCCGGTCGGAGCTGAGTGTCAGACCTGCACAGGCAGCGTCTGGCTCATCTGCAGTCTCATGTCCTGGATGCTGCTGAGGATCTTCTTCTGGTGGCCCGCCAAAGTGACCCCAATCCTTAGCAGATCTCTAGATATACAAACACAGCAGTCAGTCCCTTCCCTGCGGCCTGCTACCCTGGGCTCGGCCAGAGCTCCTGCCCAGTCCCGGCCCCTCGGGGGCACACTTACTCTGCAGTCATTTGGGCCACCAGGTCAAAGGATGAGAACCCCGCACTGACAAAGCTTTCCTTATACCTTCCCATCTTGATCGCATCTAGCCAGTCCCCCACCGTGGTGAAGGTAGTGTAATCCGGGACTGTGCGGTCCAGGAGGGGCTGTGACAGGCTGTGGACAAAAAAAGAGTGACCTGGTACAGCCAGGCAGCTAGGGAGCAGGGTTAGGGTTGCCAGTCTGTAGGCGCTGTTGGGACACTGACCCAGACGGGGCACTGGCGATGACCTTGAGGCTGGCAGCATTGCGGATAAGCTTGTCTAGTGTGTTGACGATTTGGGAGAACTTGGGTCTGAGGTTCCGGTCCCGCACCCAACAGTCCAGCATGAGCTGGTGCAGGGCAGTGGGGCAGTCCATGGGGGGTGGCAACCGATAGTCCTGCTCTACAGCATTGATGACCTGGATAACGGTAAGGAATCGGGAATGAGCACCCCTCCACACCCTGCCAACTCCCACCAACCCACCACTCCCCCTCAGCTCTACTCACATCCTGGTTACTCATGTCCCAGTAGGGTCGTTCTCCGTAGCTCATGACCTCCCACATGACAATTCCATAGCTCCAGACATCGCTGGCAGAGGTGAACTTCCGGTAGGCGATGGCCTCTGGGGCGGTCCAGCGGATAGGTATCTTCCCTCCCTGACGATGGAGGGATATGCCCTTCACCTTGGAACTCAAAGCTGACCCCCAGCCATGAGCCCCTGCCTGGCCAGCCCTCCCCTCCCTCCAGTCCCTCCCAGTTGCTTCCTGTACCAGGGAGCTGGTGTAGGTGGGGTCTGAGGGGTCATCCTCCAGGAAGCGGGAGAGGCCAAAGTCAGACACTTTGCAGACCAAGTTGCTGTTGACGAGGATGTTGCGGGCAGCGAGGTCACGGTGCACATAGTTCATCTCGGACAAGTACTTCATGCCAGCAGCAATGCCCCGCAGCATGCCCACCAGCTGGATGACTGTGAACTGCCCATCATTGAGCTGGAGGCGAGAGGCAGGCTCAGAAGGGGCCTGCTGCCTCCCCGCCACAGGCCCCTGGTCTGCCCGCCTGTTTTCCTCTAAGCCCTCTGAGAACATGCTTTGCCGTTGTGTCCAGAATGTGCGAAACAGGGAGAGCTGTTAGCCGACCTACTACGTGTCATGCAGCCTGTCTACAACGTCCCCGCGGTCCCTCTGAGAATCTCGTATGCATTACCAACCTCATTTTATAACTAAGGCAGCTGAGATTAGGAAAGGTGAGTATTTGCGGGATTGAGATCACACAGGCAGTTAAGAGCAGAGTTGGCATTTGAAGGCCCGCTGTTTTCCTAGACCATGCTACCTCTAAATATGTGTGGACTTTGAGTCGGGTCTCTGACTTGACGGTGGGCATAACTGGCCTGGCCTGGCTGTCTGGGGAAAGAGGACTGAGGCGGCTCTTACCCGAAGGAAGGAGTCCAAGGCACAGTTCTCCATGAACTCAGTGAGGATCATAACTGGACGGCTTTTGGTGACCACACCCTCTAGACGGATTATATTGGGATGGTCAAACTGACCCATGATGGAAGCTTCGCTTAGGAAGTCGCGCCGCTGCCTCTCAGTGTACCCCACCTTCAGCGTCTTGATGGCCACAAACACCTCCCGACGGCCAGGCAGTTTCAGCCGACCCCGGCACACTTCCCCAAACTCCCCTGCAGACAGAGCACAGGCACCGCGGGTCACATGCATTTCTGGGATCTTCCCAGCGGTTCACCCATCTCCTCCGCCTCGCACGACCCACCGCTGTTTCCAGGTTACTCACCAGCTCCAATCACCTCCTCGATCTTGACACAGGACACATCGATCTCCTTGGCGAATTCTCGCACAGCCTCATTGGGATCCTCATAGGTGAAGGGGTCAATGTAAACTTTCATCCCAGGAGCAACTACAGGGGAAAGAGGTGGGCACAGGAGCATGGACTTGGCGCCACAGGCAGGGAATTCACAGGCACGGGCCAGCCCTGTTGGGTGCAGCCTTGACAGCCTCCCTGCTGGGCCCGCCCCAGCCCCGGAGCCAGGCCCCGCATCCTGCCCCTCCCCCACCCCTCCCCCACGAGAATGCTGAGGAACCACATGAGCTAGACGCCCAGGATTCCTCTTCTTGTCTTTCTCCCTCATCTCTCATCGCGTTCAAACTTCTCTCCAGGTCATCCTTCCCCTCACTCCTCCCCACTGCCCAGCCTTGTCCAGGCCTTCAACACTACTGCAATAACCTCCCAGCTGGGCCCTCTGCCGCTGCACTTTTTCCCACCCGGCTGCCCTGCCTCCTCCTGGAACAATACCTTCACTGTCTTCCTCCTCAACTGACAGCCTTCCCAATTACCTGCGGTGGAGTCAAGTCCAAACTCTGCCTGCTGTTTAGGACCCTCCAAAGGGCTGGCCACATTTCTCAGCCTGGCATCCACACAGCTGTCAGTCCAGTCTTCTCACTACCCCCACAGCCGGGCACACAGCCGGGCACTGAACACCCTTCACTTCCTTCCAGAGGCTCCTTGAGCCAGGAATGCCCTCCCCCCCCCCCCCACGTAGACCCTGTTCATCCTGCCACTTCCTCCAGGAAGCCTTCTGCTTTGAACTCTTACTATCCTTTGCCACAGGAATTAACACCTAATTGCTTCCTGTGCACGAGACAGCTTGTTCCCACAGGACATACTGTCTTTGGGACAGCAGTTACACCTCAGACTCTGGGGCTAGCAAGCTCAGGGGACCTAGAATGAGGGAGGGGTCAGGAAATGGCACCCTACTAGAACCAGCCAGTCAGAGGAAGGGAGTTGGAGGGGAGATTCGCCTCTAAGCCTACAGGAGCTGAACCCTGGGGACAGAGCAACAGACACTCACTGTACTGCTGCAGCTTCTCCGTGTACTCTGCGTCAGGGCCATGGCGCTGCTTCCTGCAGGGGCAGAGTGGAGAAGGCCTAAGGCCAAGGGCTATGGCTCTCTCTGTTCAGGGGACCCTGGAGCCCACAGACAAGGCAAGGGTACGGGAGTGGGAATCCCTGGTTGGTGGTCATATCCCAGGTCTCTGGGTAGGGGCTGAAGTCTCTGGAGGCAGGGAACAGCACAGAAGACAGGTGGGTTGGAATAGGCCTTCTCTGGCAAGGAAAGCCTGGGCCCAGGATGGCCGCGGCTGTGAAGGGAGGGCACGGACAGTTTATGAGTGCAGCCAGGGAGCTCTATACTGCTAAAGTAAAGGGAGCCTGAGTCAGTCTGTGGGGCAGCCAGGGCCTGCCAGTACCTGAGGCAGACGAGGGCGATGACCACGACAACCACCATGAAGACGAACCCGGCTACCGTGGAGCCCACAATAAGGGGAAGCTGCTCTTGAAGCTGCTGGGCACCTGAGCCTGGAGATCAAGGGTGAGCAGTGAGTGAAGGGATGGGAAGGATGAGCTGCGGCAGGGGTTGGCACGCAGGGGGATAGGGGCATACCTCTTTCACTCGTGGTCTCAAACTCAGCCGGGCGGCTATACTGTCCATAGCCCGCCACTGTGCGAGCCCGGACCTGAACGACATAGCGGGCGTCAGGCTGCAGCCCGTCCAGCTGTACGGAGTTCTTCTGGCTGGTGACCGTGGAGGCGATGCCTTTACTCTGCAATGCCATGAGAATGGAGGGAGGCATCTTCAGGTGGGTCTTAGAGCCACCTGACCCTCATCCATCGTCAGGTTTGCCCTGCCCGGTGCAGAGGCTCGGATCCCAAAGGCCACGGACGCTATCTGGGTGCAGTCTTGTCCTGGTTTCACCCCAAGCCTCCTCTGGCCCCTTGAGATTCTTACCTTCTCAAAGTACTTCATCTCATAGTCCAAAATGACCCCATTAGGCCGCTCTGGGGGTGCCCAGGACAGGGTCAGGCTGCTCCCCGAGCTGCTGTGCAAGTGGAGTGTAGGTACTTCAGATGGGGCTGGCGAAGAGAAAAGGACACTAAGGACCCCTGGGCCCAGGCAGCCTTCCTAAACATCAGTTCCCACAGAGCCTCTGTGTCTAGGGCGAGATGACCCAGGTCCCCCTCTTTTGTCCCCTTCTCACCGGCCTGGTTGGTGGTGATATTCACAGCCGCATAACGGGGTGGCAGAGGGCTTTTGCCGGAGACGCCATTGACGGCCTGAACCTCAAAGGTGTAGCGGGTGTGGGCCAGCAGGTGGCTGATGTGGACCCGGCGCTCGGTCAGGCCCAGCTGCCGAGGCTCAAACTCCACGTTGTCATCACAGCGTGAACAGGTCGCGGGCCCCCCAGTGCCCGAGCTCCCATGGCACTTCTTGCAGATAACGTTATAGAGGAGGTCGTCCCGTCCACCGAGGTCCCGGGGCTCACTCCACTCGAGGATCAGCGAGGTCTCATTCACATTGGAGATCACACCCCGGGGAGGAGACGGCACAGCTTTGGGGACATAAAAGGGGAAATGAGTTGGAGGCCCAGGACCACATTTCTGCCCACTCTGCCTTGGGCACTTAATTCTACCATTGCTTTCCCAAGCTGAACCCCGTAACATCATTCCTAGGCCCAGCACTTAGCACATTACTTGGTCATTATCTGTTTCTACAATTTGATGTTAAGGTCCTTGGTGATATCTCATGTTCTTTTATGCCCACTGCACCTGGAACAGTGTCTGTATACAAAGAGGAGAAAGGCAGACACCAGCGCGTCCTTAGGCTGTGCGGTCTCTTACTACAGCTGGGCCGAGAGTGCACCAGACTGAGGAGTGATGAGCTGGCAGGCCCCTAGCCGTCGCCTGCTAGCAGCTGGTGGGGCCTTGTTAAAATGCAGGTAGTTGGGACCAGCCCTGAGCCGGGTTCGAGTTCAAGAGCGATCACCTCCTCAGTGACATCTGGAGCGCATCATCTAACCCCCTCAGCATCTAGAAGGAGGGGTTATCTCACTGCCTTCGGGTTATCTCTAGGCCGGCCCTGGGAGGACAGCCCTGCAGAAGGAGAGCAGAGGAGCTCACGCACTGGTACAGGCGCTGTCCGCCGAGTCCGAGTCCGCACGATAGAAGTTATTATGGCAGGTGCAGATGCTGGCAGCTGGCGAGGTGGTTCGGCTGTTGGGGGGACAGGGGAGGCAGGGTCCCTCTCCTTGCTTTGCCTTGTAACTCCCAGGGGGACAGGCTGCAAGAGAAAAGAGGACAACACATATTATCTCCCTTCTCTGCAGACATCAAGCCTTCCCTCTGAGAGAACCTGGCCTTTCCCAATCTGTGGCTTAGCCCCTCCAACTCCCAGACCATGGGGGCAATGCCTGTATTGCCCAACTCCAGCTAGGCTACAAAGGGCCCTTTCGCCCCACAGAAATGCCACGTCAGCAGATTCCTCTCCACTCCCACTCCCCCCACCGTGTGCCTTAGAAGACGTCAGCCCATCACCTGGACAGTCTGGCTTGTGGAGGCAGGGCAGAGAGAAGAGGAAGAGGAGGGGGTGGGAAGAGACCACCACCCTGTACCCTGCTGAGATGGCCCTGTACCCTGCTAAGATGCCCCAGCCTTCCCTAACAACACTCTGGGAGACAGTAATTCTTGAGAACCCTCAAGGATACTGCCATAGCCAGGAGGTAGGGCCTCCTCCGCAGACAGCTCAGGGCAAACCTCTGCCCCACCCACCAAGGAGCAGGGCAGGGTGAGGGCTGGGCAGGAGTGAGAAAAGAAGGAAAGATGGATAAGAAAACAGAAAGAAAGCTGGGGTCACCTGGAGTTCAAAGGCTCAGAGCCTCCCAGGGGACCTGTCCCAAGCCAGTCCAGAGCCCAGTGACTGAACATCCCTTCCCATCTCTCCTGCCAACCAAATTCAGCCCCTGTGGTACGGGCTCTGCACATCCCCCATGTGTAGGGTGGCCATAATATTTATTATTGAAAATCAGAATATTTATAGAGTGAAAGGGTTGATTGATAGGACAGTGGGCATAACTGGAGACTATCCTGGCCACGCTAAAGTGACCTGTCAGTCCATCCACGTGATGACCTCTGGAAGGGGGTCACTAAGCTTTTCCAGCCTGTAGCTGGGGCTGTTCTCTTCTTTAGGGTTTGATCTCCCCTCATGAAGGTGATATTCCATCCTAGCTCTTTGAACCAGTGGGGGAGGGGGCAGAGGCCAGGCCAGCCTGGTTGCTATGGGAACCAGCCTGCACTTCCTGCCAAGGACCTGCAGAGTGTTAGTCCTTCTTCAGGCTGTCAGGGCTCATCACCCCCACCCGCTTTCTACACTTGGGAAGAGGAAGTTTCCAGCAGGTTCCTAAAGAGAAGCAGAGGGGGCCCGTGGGGCAACCCCAAACAGGGGCCTCACGGGGCAGGCCAGGTTGATGGCCCAGCCCCCTCCTCACACAGAGGACTACGATAAGAGCCATTTCCCATTCTGGGAGGCACCATCACAAGTCCCATGGAGAAGAGGGCAGAGAGAAGAGACAAGACCCTCACCCCTTGCCCTACTTCAGCTCTTGGTGGGGATTTAATGCCAGCTCCCACGTTCCCTGGCTGGAAGGTCAGCACTGCAGAACCACCCTGAGACTCCATGTTCTTGTTGGCAAAATAGGGAGAAAACTGGAATCACTCCACAGGCTCATCAGGGGGACTTTACAGCTGGAAGCCAGGACATCACAAGGTCTGGTGAGACTCAGCAAGCCTCCGCCTGGCTTGTAAACAGGGACTTGAACAATCCCTGTCCTCCAATTGTCTCCACCCTCCTGGGACCAGTGGCCCCCATCAGATGGTGACACTCATGTCACCTCGGGCAGGGCATCACTTGTTCATCCCCATTTACAATCTCAGGAACAGTCTCTACTACTGCCCCCTTTGGCATGAGGAAGCCAAGGTTAGCATGGTTCACTAACTTGCACAGGCTCACCCAAGTAGTTAAAGTGAGACCTGGGGACTAGAGGGGCTTGGCCTCCAACTACTGTGCCATCCACACTGCCTCTCAAGAAACATGCAAAGGGATACCCACAGCAGAGCCCCCTCTAGAACTTGCACATCAAGTACACATTGGGGACAGGACCAAGAGGGCACCCTGGCAGCCTCCAAGGTCTGTCCAGGTTCCAGGGCCTCAGTCGGCAAGCATTGACAAGGTCTCTACTCTTTCCATTTACAGCCTCCATCTTTCTTGCCCCCCCCCATTATCCCCCCCCGCCCCGCCCCCGTGCTGGGGGCTGCAGGTAGAGCCTTGTCCACGCCAGGCAAGCGCTCCATCACGGAGTGCATCCCCAACTTCTCCTCTTCCTCAAGTCTCCTTTTCTTTCCCGTGCCCCTCTTTGCAGGGGGACCTTTATTTCACAACACGCAGCTCCTCCCTCTCCTGCTGTCCTCCAGTCTCACCTGAGACCGTGTCTGGTCAGATAGGAAGCCTGGCTGTGGTCAGGCCCCACTTACCGCGGCACTGGGACTCCTTGGCAGCCGGCTCGTGGCCAGTGGCGCAGGTGCAGGCCCCGACGGGCACCATCCACTCTCCGTCGCCATTGCAGTAGAGTTTGAGCGGCACCGAGACCTCCACGGCATTAGGGATGCAGGTGCCGGGGGCAATGACCAGCGACGTGGGCTCCGCCCCCGTGAGGGTCTCGGGGAAGAGTGCGAAGCCTGCGGTGGTGGACGCGCACTTCTTGTAGAAGGCACGCACCGAGATGAGTGACATGCAGGCGCCCTGGTCCTGGAAGGCCAAGTAGAAGCCAGCCTTGGAAAGCGGCCCGAAGCTGCGCACCTTGGTGTTGACCCGACCGGCGTCCAGCCGCGAGAAGCTCTCGTCCGGTGCGATGGTGTCCACTTTGACATAGGGGTTCTCCATCCAGAAGGGGGAGGAGGCCGACGCCACATCGCTGTCAGCCTCGTAGTAGAAAAGGTTGAAGGTCTCCTTGCAGGAGCCAGGGATGTTGGGGATGCTGTTGCAGTCTCGCACGGTGAATTTGAGCTCCACGTAGACCCGCTGCACTTCCCGCCGCCAGATGAAACCGGTGCGAAGCCAGTTGTTCTGACTGGACTCCCGCACGTTACACACCTGATACGTTCGGATGGGGTTCATGGCTTCATCGTAACCGCTCACTTCTTCCCACTGAGTGTGGACCAAGTGAAAAAGGGAGTGAGCCATTTGCCGAGCGTCGGGGGGCTGCTGCATTTATTTACCTCACAGAGGCGCTTCGGTGGTGGGTGGCTGAGCACGCAAACACAGGTTCAAAACCCAGCTTTCTGGGCCCCTTAACCTTTCTGTGCCTCAGTTTCTTGGTCTGAAACCAAGAGATAATTAGCATACCTAAGGAATACAGAACTACATGAAGCGCACCCAGAACAGGGCTGAAACCTTGGGAAGCCTGAGGTGACTCCTATGTGTGTGTGATCTGATGGCCTCAGTTTCATCACCTGTACAGTGGGCTGACCGGAATTAAATGAGGTTGGGAGGAACTAAACAGGGCAACATCTTGGCTGCCAGAGAGAAAGCACTTGGTGAACCCTGGCTGTCAACACCACCAACACATTTCATCGTCACAGTAATTCCACAAGAAATCCAAGGCTTATAGCAGAGACAGACCAACCCAAATCACAGTTGGCCTGTTGACTGCAGAGCCTGTACCTAGGGCCCCAGGGCTCAGCCTAGCCACAAAGGCCACCTCGGGATGTTAATTCCAACAGCTGAGAGATATCAGAATGGTAGGAATTTAACAATCAAGAAATAGAGGCCCAGAAAGGTCAATTATACACAGTGTGGTAGAGGCTTCCTGGTTCTTTTTTTGGGGGTTTTTTGTTTTTTGGTTGTTTTTTTTTTTTTATTATTATTTTTTTAAACAGAGTTTCTTTGTAGCTTTGGAGCCTGTCCTGGAACTGGCTCTGTAGACCAGGCTGGCCTGGAACTCACAGAGATCCACCTGCCTCTGCCTCCCAAGTGCTGGGATTAAAGGCATGCGCCACCACTGCCCGCCCGGCTCTTCTTTTTAAAGATAGGTTCTCACTACGTAGTCCTGGCTGTCCTGGAATTCACTATGTAAACCATGCTGTCCTAGAACTCAGACATCCACCTGCCTCTGTGCTTGAGGGCACGTGCCACCACACTCGGCTTTGCCCCCTGCCCCCCTGCATCCTGAGCCAGCACTCTTTCGGGGACCCAGGAAGGAGGGGGACGATCTGGATGGATGTGGAAGGACCACCAGGTCAGGGTGATAGGACAAAGATGGAACAACAGACAGAAGAATGAGACACACAGACATCCACACACTAAGAGGGTGAGGCCGTGGAGGTGGCACACGGAAGGGAATGGGAATACCACAGGAGGTGAGGACAGAGGCAGCCCACAGTCAGACCCGGGAGGGAGGAGGTGTAACGGCACCAATACTCAGGAGAGAAGGTGGGCAAGTCTTACCCCACTTTCTGGGTGAGACGTCCATGCCAGCTCAGATGTCACCCATTTCGTGTCCATGAGGGTCTCTGGGGAAACAGCAGAAGGAAAAGGTCAGAGGCCAACCTGGTCAGAATGAGGAAGCCACCCAGGAAAGGATGTCAGAAACCAGTTCCCATCAGGAACAACCTCTCCCAAATCTCCGAAGACCATTCTCTTTCTCCAGAGGAGATCCTGAAGTCATTCCCAGAGGTAGGTGTCACAACTCCAAAGGTGTCAGTCTGGCTGGCTAGGGGTAGCTGTCTGCCTCTGACCCTGGGCCTGGGTTAACGAGGCTGGAGCAAAGGCTGGCTCACACACCTCAGGCTCGGCTAATCTCCACACAAAGGGGCCAGCAGGGCCTTTATCCGGGAACAAAGGGCTGTGGGCTTCAGACCCTGCAGCCTGGGCCTCCCCTGACTCCATTCCCAGCACAAAGGCCCGGCCTCACACACTGCCCTGGGGAAGGGAAGAGCCCTGGCAGGCTGGGGCCTGCTCCCAGCCTCCCACTCAGCCACCTGTGGGGGCTGAAGCAAAGATGCTCTTTGAGGTAAAAGGACCACTGATGCCCAGAACTTAGTTCAAAGCTTCAAGAAATCCACGAAGAAACCACGGCTCACGGCCCTCTACGGAAGACTGATGCCGAAATAGAGTCGGTATATTCTGGTAAAACTGTTAGGACCTGGGGCAAGGGGCTGAAGATGGCTCAGGTCTAGGTCCAGCTGATTCAGTAGCAAACCCCTCTGAAGGGACCAGAGAGCCAGGCGTAGAGGAGGCACATGCTTGTAATCCCGGCACCAAGGGGTTGAGGCTAGGAGAATGGGGAGTTTCAGCTTAGTCTAGGGTACATGGTGAGACTCTGTCTCAAAAACTAACTAACTAAATAACAACTAACTAACTAACTAACAAAGCTTGGAAAACAGCTGTGTGTCTCAGCCAAACTTCTGCCTCCAGGAAACCTTTCTTGGATCTCCAAGTCAGGTGAGGTGCCTTCCACCGTGTGTCAGGGCCTCTCTGCTCTGAACTCAGCGTTTCTTGTCAGGTTGGCTTGCTCAGTCATGGTAGGCACACCTGAATGTTCCAGACAAGAACTTGCACCCCTAAAGCCCAGTTCTGAGCTTTGGCTGGACAACTGAAGACAGCGTGACTCCAAGATCAGACTTAGCATGACAACAGGAAGGGAAGGGATCCGACCACGACCCCCAACTTCTTCCCTGTAGCCTGAGAGCCAAGGCAACCTCAACTTTGGGCTTGATGGGCAGGGCTGGCCCAGAACTTCAAGAGGCTGTCATGCCACATCCTTGGTGGGGTAGCTGAGGGTTCCTAGAGGATCTGGACCCCACATGTTCCTGCAAAAGCCGGCAGAGAACCCAGTGGATGGGCAGCACGGGGCAGAGTGCAGCAGGCGCTCATTGCAGGGAGCCAGGCTCGGGTGTGTGTGTGTGTGTGTGTGTGTGTGTGTGTGTGTGTGTGTGTACACAGCTGGTGGTCTTGACATGGCAAGCTGTCCCAGCTTCCCGCGGCAGACAGACCAACAGACACACATCTGGCAGGTGGCCCTTCGGGGAAGCAGAGATGGGGGGAAGCAGAGACGGGCGAAAGCAGGGGCCCAGAGATAGGAAGGCAGAGCAGGGGCTTAGCTGGGCCAGGCTGAAGGGACTCTGGCAGGCTGGGCCCAGACAGCAGGGATGCCGGGCAGCGGACTACAACAGACAGTAAGATGAAGAGACAAGGAGGCCCGAAGAGACATCCACAGAGAAGGAGAGTGCCAAGCGGCCTCTTCCCCAGCCGGCAGCCTGGAATACTCTTGTCCCTGGGAGCAGTCGATCCGCGCCGAGCCAAGCACACCCCCTCCCCCAGCCAAGCAGCCGGCCAGTCCGCCTGCTTGTCTGCCCGCCGCCGCCCGCCCGCCCGCCCGCCCGCCCGCCCGCCCGCCGGAGCAGGCAAGGGCTCCCACTGCTCCCGCGCGCTGCCTCCCTCCTCCCTCTCCCTCACTTCCTTCTGCTCAGCCTGTGCCAAACCCATCTGGAACTGTTTAAACCCAAATATTCAGCCCCCTCCCCCTCCAGCCAGATTCCTCCACAGTTTAAAACAAGCCCTGCGCTGGCTCCGGGAGGAGGGGAGAGGGAGGAGAGAGGGGAGGGTTGGGGGCGGGCGCAGGAGGAGGGAGAGAGGGAGGCTCTTCATTTCTGTTTAATTTCTGGAGCGGGAGGGAGGGGATCAGCCTTTGGCCATCGCTCAATCTCGGCACATTTTTCCCATTAATGAGGAGAGGACTTGGGTTTCCAGGCCTGTGTGCCTGAGGAAGGGCTCGGGCTCCGGTCACCCCGGTGGGGAGGAGGCGGGCCGCTCTGGTTTCCCTACTTCTCTGGGGAGAGGAGGGGCTTGTTCCTTGCAGTCTGCCCCAAGCATCGGAGGGAGGTCTAGGGCAGACTAAGTATCAGTGCCCCGGCCTCAAAAGGACTGACTGAGGATTATAGCACCCATCTGCCCAAGGTACCGGGAGGGAGACCTTTTCTCAGCTGAGAAGACACAGGGGCTAAGAACAAAAGAGCAACGTGAGCAACCTCCAGATACTCCTGGCTGCAGCTTCCACACGGTGCCCACCCCCCACCAGGTGGCTGTGGAGGGAGATAAGTCGGGAGGGCCACCCCTAGACACGGGGCTCATATTGCCCTTAAAAGTCACTGGGACGCTGAGGGTCTGCCACGGGGGCTTTGCTGCAACACCCTTTCAATTTTCCACAAGGCCACGGCCATAGCAAGTAGCGGTGGCAGCAACTCTGTGGCTCTCACCTGTGGACACACACAACCGTTTGCCCAGCAGTACCCAGTTCTCAGTGGCTCGACTCGTTTCCCACTACTGGGCCCAAAGAAGGGCAAGTCAACACATATGGTGGACAACCACACACAGAGCCACAGCCACCCGCCAACACACACACACACACACACACACACACACACACACACACACACACACCCCACAGCTAGTCTGTCTTTTTCAGACACACAGATGCTCATGGCACAAACAGATTAGTCTCCTTAGATATCCACAGACAGCAAATCTTTCTTACACACAGCATCAGCTTGCTCTAGACCAACCACTCTCAACCACAGCCTTTCTAAGGACAGGCACGCCCAATCCAACAGTACATCCTCGTCACACACCCAACTCCACAGCTACAAGGCACACGCAGTCCTGCATATAAAGTACCAACACAAGTACTGGTTTCCCTGCACAGACTTGTAACACGCTCTTACACAGTCACATGGAAAACACACTACCGCCCCATGAAGGAGCATGGAAATTCGATACAAGAATCAATCATGAGCCGGGAGGTGGTGGCACACACTCTTAATCCCAGCACTTGGGAGGCAGAGGCAGGAAGACAGGTCCCTAAGAGCTGGAGGCCAGCCTGGTCTACAGAGGGAATTCCAGGACAGTCAGGGCTACACAGAGAAACCCCGTCTCAAAACAAGCACTAATCACCGAAGTTAGTGCAACAACTTGGAGGCTGGACACACAGCAGACACACACTGCAAGCATGCTCTTCTCTGGGTGTCTGCAGCAGAGTGAAGGAAGAGCTGGGAGAAGGCGCTACCTCTCACCCTGCCTCTCACAGAGGCTGGGCAACCCCAGCTCTGCTTCCTGTTGTCCTCACTAAAGCAGGAGCTGTCAGTCAGTCAGGTCACAAGGTAGGGGGTGGGGCAGGGGCATTGAGAGGATTCTAGGTGTGGCTGGGTGCGGCCTCCCAGGTATAGCCCCTGTCTAAGTAAGCAGCAAGCCACTTCCCTGGCAGCAAAATGGCAGTGTGTGGGGGAGTACTAAGCCTCCAGGGAAGCAGCACTAAGCCTCCAGGGAAGCAGCATTCAGGAGTTTGGCTCGGGAGCTGTCGTACTGAAGTTGGAGAGCTGGCACCACATTCAGGACGCCCTGGCCTGCCTCTGAGGGTCTCATTTGACCACACTAGTGCAAGAACACAGGCCGAGAGAGAGCCTTGTTGCCTGCCCTGGTGAAGGGCAGGGCCCACTCAGCTTTATGGAGCTGCCAGACTCCACAGCACCTCCAGGTTCCGAGTCACTCAGAATATTCCACCCTGGAACCGAAGTGCCACAGAGAGCCCAGGAAACAGTAAACAAGAAAGGAGACAGAACCAAGGAGCCTTTGGCCTAAGCCCAGACTGAGGACTCCGAGGTGGTAGGGAAGGTCATATTTCAAGGCTCGGGAAGCAGGGGGTGGGGTGGGCACAGGAGGACAGGGTCCAGGCAGAAAGGAGTGCCCTGAAGTCTTGTCTGTGGCAGCTCAGAGAAAACTACCTCAGCTCAGCTGTCCTTGTCCCCAGAGTCCCTACCTTGCTCCCAAGCAGGGAATCACGGTTTCCTGTTTCTTATTCCAGTCATGTGTCTGTCTGTGTGCATGCAGTGGCCGGGAGGGCCTGAGAGGAAAGGGGTTTGGGGGAATCCTGCCCTAAGATCTGAGGGATGTGTGTGTGTGCACAGACGCAGGTAGTTGTAGTCGGGGTTTGTGCTGTTTTGTTCCATTCTTTGCTTTGTTTTGAGTTGCCTGGCTTCCCCAGGGCCACTGACCCATCCTTAGACACAGCCCTTTGGTCCCCACATCAGGGCTGGTGGGGAGGGGAACATCTCCTAGCAGAGAACACACTTTGTTTTTCATTCTTTCCCTCAGATCATGGGGATTTATAATTAAATAAACCTGAGAGGGAGGGGGGTAGCACAGGGCAGGGAGCCCAAGGGCCTCAGTGTTCCCACCCTGGCCCTGCCAGCCAGGCTGGACCATAGACAGCTGGCCCTGGCACGAGGCCTCCATCTCTTCCCAGGATGCTGGTCCAGTGGCCTGACCAGGAGCTGAGGCAGAAGGCCATGGGAGACTTGGCCTTAAGATAGCCCTTGGGCCAAGGGGCCACTCCCACCCCATCAGGTACCCAGCTGCCACCCCCCACCCCCCCCCTGCCCAAGCCTGACAAACCAGTTTGACTCAGCACAACAGGCAGTCTACAATTTTCAAACTATGCAGGCCTGGTGATTCAGCCTCTTCTGCTGTTTGATTAGTGGAAGGCTAGTGGCGGAGGCCTTGCCCACAACAACCTAGGCTTTAGCTCTCAGCTGCCTGGGCCAAAGCGGCAGCGGTGGCAGCCCTGGCTTGAGAGGAGGGCGGCCAGAAACAAATTGGCTCTCCTGGATGCCTGCTGCTGTCTCTCCTCAGATCAGAAGCTCTGGTGACAAACAAGAATTGAGGGTGGGGGCCGGGGGTGGGTGGGTGGAGGAATACCAGAGACAACAGAGAGAGGTAGTGAGCAATCCATGATAATCCTGGGCTGTGACCCCTGGCAGTTCCCACATTCTCAGGGTCACACGGCTAACCTCAGAGGACGAGGCTTGCTGGTGCTTCTCCCCCAGGGCCAGGCTCCTCTGCAGTGAGGACTTAACCAGCATGGCTAAGTGGGATGTCCCCACCCCACCCCCTACAAGCTGGAACTCTTTCTCTTTTTGCAGAAAGGCTTACTCCCAGCTGGGACTTTCTCAAATACATACAACTGACCTGTGGCTCGGACACCATGCCTCATCCAAGATCCCATTCTTAGCTTGTTTCACCCCCCTGAACACCCCTTTCCCACTTATTCATGGCCCCGACTGGAAGAACGATCTGGGCTACAGGGAACCAGAGAAAAGTCCTTAAAGGCAAAGTGAGTGGTAGGCGACCTCCTAGATCCCAGGGCAATTTTCTGTGTATATGTGTGTGCATGCGTGCACACATGCCTGTGTGCCAGTGTGAGGTGGTCAAAGGGCTAGCTGGTAACATCCCGATTCCACCCAAATCGAAAACTAAGATGAGATCCTGGGATCTCGGTAAACTCCAAGTGTGCAGAGAACGAACAGGAACCGGGCGTCAGGCGGCATGCAACTTGTGGGTACACCATGGGCAGCTCACAGCTCAGAGACCCCGAGTCTATGTGCACTGATACTGTTGCCGAGAGCCAAAACACCAGGGCAAGCCACCTGAGAAGTTTGGGGCTGGTGATGGATCATCAGCAGTAGGCCCTGCTCGAGGGACACAGCCTCCAGGCCCTGGAAGTCCACCCATCACATACTCCAAGTCCTAGAAGACAGCGAGGGTTTAGGCAGGACTCTGCTCTCTGTCTCTTTCCTGCAGGGAGACCCACCCCAGCTTTCCAGTCCAGCTTTCCTCCCTCATGATTCCTCCCTTTCAGCAGGGTAAGGACACTGCTCCCCTAAGAGCAGACCCTGGGGTAGTAATGGTAATAACAACAGCTAATCCTTGAATAGCAACAACTGTGCTAAGCCCTTTACACATAGTAACAATTCAATCTGGTCGGTACCATTTCCATGTGAGAGCAGGCATGGAAAAGCAGGTAGAGGTTAAGGGTTGGCTCTGCTCAGCACCTCTGTCTCTTTTCTTCTCTCTCACACAGGGTCTGAGGTGTTGCAAAAATGAAGTCAAGGGTGAAAGCCACACTCGTAGGCCCCCCGCCACTTTCCAGGGGCACCCTCGCTGGCCTAGCGTCCCTCAGCCTGACATTAGCTCTGACTCCCATTCACAGCTCATCACAAGGGCCTCTCAGTCACTCCTTGGCCCAGAAGACCTGGAGACCAGGATTGTGAGGGATGAAAAGGAGGAAGGGAAGGGCCTCCTCAGGTAGCCTTTGCTCATCTTCCCCAAACCACACTCCCGCCCACACCCCACGCTCTGCACCACTACCTACCACACTCCACAAAAGGGGCCGTAGGACAGGTGACACACACACATACAGCTCTGCTAAGTACATGTCCCAGAGTGCAGGTGCCTCTCCTGAGTTTAGACCGGCGTAGACCTGGGAACTCGATAGGCTCCCTGGCTCACACCCTTAAGGCAGTCAACAACATAGCCTCACACTGGTTTCTCACGCCTGAGATCCTATCACACACATGTGGGTGAGTGTGTGTAAGTGTGGGTGCAACCTCGGTGTAGCCGTCTAAATTTGCATGTGTCCACCCAGGTGGATAAATCTGTCAGCGTTGTGGGCTCCAAAATAAGAGGGACAATTTCCCACTGGAGGAAATTCCAAAACACCAGAAACCTCTATGAACTGTTTTAGCTATTTTTTTCTTCCAACCTTTAAGTTTACGCTGTGAATTTAAGGAAGGAACCATATTACATAGGGTTCATGTTTTTGTTCCTCAACTAAAAAAGTGTCTAGGTTGTCCAAGACACCAGACATTAAGTACTGCCTACATACCAATTTCCCTCAAATGCTGTGCCCCCCCCCTTACACATTAAGGAGGGTTTTCACTCCTCACTTAAAGGGTTCACAATTTTTGTAACACCAGGGGACTGTGTGTGCCTCTAGACTGTGTTAGTGACCTGTGCCGGTGTTCCCTGTGGGTTCATGTCAAGTGGCGTAAGTGTGAGCTCTCTCGTCTGGGCCAGTAACACTCGGGCTGTTTGTTTGTTCAAGTTCAGTCTTTTCTCAGCAGCGGCAGCGGCAGCAGTCTTAGCAGTAGGTTTCACAGAACCCACAGACAAGGCTGACCTTTTCCCGCCGCAGATGACTAGCAGCCACTCGGCTCAGGAGCTACCCGGGGCAAACCCTCGTTTGTGAGGTTCAAAGGAAACCCAAGCCCTCCGAGGGTCTTGCTAGAAGTGGGGGTGGGGTGGGTCCGAGAAGGTGTACAACAGACACACACCTCATGTGTTGCTGGCACTCGAGAAATCATAAACAATGACAGGCCCCCTGCCTCTCCACCCCCACAGCTATCCCCTGACAAAGCCGGGTGCACACACGCTCACAGTTAACTCCAACGGGCTCCCAACCAGCGGAGCCCCCCAGCCCGGGGAGTCCCGCTTCACCCCGCCCGAGCGCCCAGTCCCGCAGCCCCCGCCTTGTCTGCTGGGTCGCCCACATTTCCTCGCCTTCCAGAGGTGCGAAACCCCGAGGGTCTCGTTTCTCTGCTGGGAGTGTAGGCTATTCCCACAAAAACCCACGGCCGAACTGCGGCTTTCGGGTGTCGGTGCTGAGCCCAGCTGCCAGCAGTTCCCTCCACCAAGGCTGCGGAGCCGGCTGGAGCCCGGAGCCTCCTTGGACGGGTGCTCAGCCCGTGGTCCCCACACGGCGGGGCTCCCCGATAGCGCGCGGGACCCCGACGCCGCTCACCTTCCAGCGCCCAGCAGCCGGCGGACAGCAGCAGCGGCAGCAGCAGCCGAGCGAGCAGCGGCAGAAGCCCCGGCGGCGGGCGGGCTCGGGCCATAGCCCGGGGCGCTCGGGGGGCCGAGCCGGGCCGCGCCGGCGGGGCTGGGGGCGCCCGAGGAGAAGGCTCGCGCACAGTCCAAGAGATCCCGGCAGGGAGGGGGCGCAAAGCAGACGGGCGGCTCCGTAACCGAGGTGTCGCCCAACCCGGCGCTCCGGGGAGATGCCGGCAGGTCGGTCCCGCGGGAATCTGGACGGACCGGTCCAGGAGGATCCGGGGCGCTGCGTGACTCGACGCCGGAGGACTCGGGAGGCAGAGGGCGCAGGTGGTCGCGGTTCTCGGGGTACAGTCCACGGCGGGCCGAGCTCGGATCCCGGGCTCCGGGTGCGCGCGCCGTCCGAGGTAGGAGCCGGGATCTGGCTGCGCCGCTCACGTACTCACTTCTGCTGGTCCTCGCGTTGGAGCGGCCGCTCTGGGCGAGAGGGGCGGGGCTACCGGCCTGCCCGTCAACACTCCGGCCACGCCCCCAGAGGCCGACCGCCCACTCACAGACCGCCCAGCCAGTTGGTTCTGCTGCGAGAGCACTCCGCTGGAGTTCAGTTGGCCGCTCTTCCACCGAGCCCACCCTCGGTGTCTTGGGGCCTGGAGCAGGAGGAGCTAAGGAAAAGATGAATTAGATTGGGCGGAGCCACACTGTCCATCAGCGGGATCATCCCGCCCCTTTTCTTCCATTGGCGATTAGTAACCAGCTCGAGTCCTAGGAGGTGATAACCAGATAGAACGAGCTGGGGGCGCCCCCCTGTGGCTAGCAGACTCCTGGGACTCTGTCAAGCGGCTATTTTTCTCCCAGGCACGTCCAGACCCCCAGCATAGGCCTTAGCGAGTAGGGAAAGAGCTGGGGGTGGAGTTTACCTACACCCGCAGAGCCTGCTCCCAGGGCTTCTCAAGGGTTTATTTATTCGTGCACTCAGATGTGATAATTTGTTCAATAAATACTTTTGGACACCCACAATGTGTCAAAGAATGGCTAGGGCAGAGAAGTTTGTGTTATCCTGGAGCCATGTGAGCGGTGGAGCTAGGTTTAAAGCTCACAGCGAGGGGTAACAAGCATTCCTGCAGAGAAAGAACCTAGATTTTCGAAGCTAGCATTAGGTCTAAGGAAACAGCACCCGAGTGACAATATGAAAGATAAGTAATAAGCGTTATTTCCAGGCAGAGAACACACACTTTGTATTAAGACCTAGAATTGAAGAATCTCAAAGTTCAGAATAGCTTGGGTGTGGAGTCAGAGATGAGAGGTGGAAAGAGGCTGTGAAGTAGGTGTGGAGGGGCCCGGAGAATATTTTTTGGACTCCTGATATAGCCTTCCTCAGAGCTAGTTTGAAACAGGGGGCCTTGCCCTATCTGATTGGCACGGCTGACCTGAGAAGGATGAGCAGGCAGGAACAAGGGTGGCGAGTGAATGGGCTTTGTTGTGGTCAGGATGGTGGCTTAGACTAGGGTGATAGCTCTGAGGAGGAGCCAACAAGGACAAGTTTGAAGTGTATTTAGGGGGTAGAGTTTGGCAGACTTTGTGACTAGGTGGTTGAGAGAGGTGCAGTAGTCAGGAACATCAAAGGGGACCTCCAGGTTCCCGCAATGGACTTCCGCCAATGGACTTCCGCCGGTTCATTTCTTAGAGCATTTACAAGGTGCAATAAACACCCTAACCAATAGCTCACACTTATTCAAGGTAGGTGTTTTTAGAGCCTCATTTCACAGACAAAACTGAAGAAAGAAAATAGAAAAGACAGAGACAAACTGATGTGTAACAAGACTTGGCAGCTTGCCCCAAGTCATACAGCTAACAAGAGGTAGGAGCTGAACTCAGGGCTGCATAGACACCCGATTCACTTCATCAAAGAACTCAAGAGCACCAACGTGTGTTCAAAACAGAACCTCGAGCTGTCCTTCCCCACCTCTGACATAAGGACTCAGAATTTCTGCAACGTGGAGCCCAAAATTCTGTACTGTAACAAACGGGTGGTTCTGATAGGCACTGAATTCTGAAGTCATGACCACCAGGCATCCTCTCGCTATCCTAAGTGGGTAACCATCACTCCACGGTGCCTCAGAGCCTTCCTTACCTACCCTCTGGTTTCTGGGCCAAAGAACGAGAGAGTTAGGTTCAAGATGGCCTCAGAGACATGATGAACAGACTTGTTCCCCTGACCACAAAGCACCCCAAGACTCCAGCTCAGGAAAACCCCAGCAAGGTGGCTGAGGTCCTGAATCCAGAGCCTGAGGATATTGCTTTGAAAGAGATTTGTCTCCCTGGGTAGGGATTGAGGTGTGGGGTGTGTGTGGAGCTGGGCTTGGGGTGGGCACTAAATGCCTGATCCATTCTTAAGTTCTAAAAGCTTCCAGAAACCTGTAGCAAAGCTCTAGTCCACAGAAGGGATCTTGGAAACCATCTTATCCAGCTCTCAATTGTGGGGCTGGAGATCCCGAGGTGGAGAGAGGGACTGCTCGCTCTACAGCCCTCTCTGTCCTGGAGAGCTGGTTGGTGTTGGCCAGGGTGACTTTTCAGCAGGTGGCCTAGGGGCAGCACGTCCCAATTAAAGACTTGCTTATTGAAAGGCAGAGTAGCGAGGTTGGCACTCCTGTTTACTCAGCATCTGTGCCAGACGAGGCCTCGCCCTGGACAAACAGCCCACCAGGCGGCAGGCACCAAGCTCCTTTGTTCCTGGGTCTGATAGCAGAGGCAGTGGTGGCGGTAACGGGGGCCTGTCCCCACCGGATGTTGGCACCATGGTTCCCACGGGAATGCTTCCTGACCTAGATGTTGACAGACTGGACAGCACCGAAGTTCTGGCTACAATAGCCGGTGGCGACAAAGGGGACAGGAGATGGGGGCACTGAAAGCCAAATGCGTAGAAGGCCCAAACTTCCTCATCTTCCCAGCCGAGACACCAAGGAACCCAGGGAATAGGCTCTGGCCTTGGACTTTGAAATGGAGGGAAAACAGCGAGGCTATGGTAAAAACATTTCTTTGACCACATCATTGTTCACCTGTTTGATTTTAGGAGGAAGCTTGACGCTCAGAAGGATCCAGGTCCAAACTGGCAGGCCCATACAGCTGTGGCGTCTATAAGATGCTGGACCACCTGAGCCCCAGTATCCACGTGAACAGGAGTGAGTGAAGATCTGAGGAACCAAAATAAGTGGACCCCCTGATAATGAATGTCTAGCTCCCAAATCCTCTCTGCAAGCACCGTGGGTTCTGAGACAATCAAGGAATGTGTGAGGCGGTTAACAACTCTGGGTTTCTTTTCAGGAGATAAAGCTTCTGACCCTGACTTGAGCTAGCGCATGTGTAAGGACAAAACAGAGAAAGAGAACTTGGGGCAGGAAGCGGAGGCCGAACCCTTTTGATAAATGCTTTAGAGGCTTTCTGTTGTAGACGAGGGTGGAGGCAAGGGGACCAGTGGAGACACTAGTGGCCAGGGTTGTGCCATAGTGGCCCAAACAGTAAGGTAGAGAGGAACCTTCTTTAGAGAGAAGAGAAAGAAAGGACTTGAAGATGAGCGGGCCTAGTACAGGAAGAGGAGTGGAGAGGACATCATGATGGGGGCGGGATGGAGGGTTTTGTTCTGTATGTACTAGCTGAACTTGGAGAGGCCTGTGAGGAGGCTAGTGGAGATGTGGCCACCCATATGTGCCCATCCATCCTCTTCTACTGACTGCTACCTGCCCTCTGAACAGGCGACTCTGCTCTCCCTGGCGTTTGGAAGTCCCACATCAGGACCGTTCCCTCTGCCTGGTGCTCTTCCTCCACTCTTCACTGGGGTTCTTCCATCTTAGTGTTTGGATATCAGCTTAAATGTCACCTGTCTGGGCCGTTTCCCTCCTTCCTCTTCACACCATCACTGTCTAGCCATGGCATGACTGATACTGGCTAAGATTACATTATTAACCATCAGTTTACACATATATCGTCTCCTCTGATAGAACATGAATCTCCCGTTGGGTAAGGACTTTTCTTATTTGCCACTCATCTCCAATATAAAGACCAGTGTTCTGTATGAAGTGCGTACTCACTAACAGCTTACTAAACGAATAAGTATGTATGCAAGCACCAGGGACTTTTAGCCACTTCCTTGTCCTGAACTGGAGGCAGACATTATTAATCAATCCTAGACTCTTTTATCCATGTGATGTTCCATCCAGCCATTGCCAGCCTGCAGAGAACTGGCACACAGAGTTATAACCATCTGCTATTCCTACTTGCTACTTACACAGCCTTGTGTGAGTCTTTTGAAGGCTCTTCGAGCCTCGCTGGTATCCATCAAATGTCTCACACAAGATGTGGAGATAACCTTTTCACCTCTCCCTTATTCCTGGGATCCCAAGCTGGATATTACTGTGCTGACAAGCATATCCAAGAGGGCAGGCGGGCTCAGGTCCAGTTATCCTCTTGAGTCACACCCACTCCTGGACTTTTCTGCTTTCCTGTTTTATTACCAGCCCCCCAAAGGAAAGGCTGAAGGGACCTTTGGTATCTAGTTCAAAAATCCCCTTAGTGTCAGATAAGGAAACGGACCTCAGAGAAAGGAAGTCAATGGGGCCACTAGTCGACCGACCGCATCTGGCACTTAACTGAGCTGCACGTCAGGGGCCAGTCGATCAACTCTTCCTTGATAACGTGGATATGATGAGGAGGCTGCAGTTCCTTATATCCAAGCACAGTCTCCAAGCCCTGAGAGGCAAACAGCCTGGCTTCCCTGAAGGCTCTGAGCACTTGGCCCTAGACATCCATTCACGGGAGGTGACAGGAGCAGGCTCTCCCTCGCAGGCAGTCGCTTTTGGGAATTGCCCTGGACCGCTTGGGCCACTGAGAAGCTTTTGGCTATTCCAAGGCCTGTTAGTGACTCTTGGCAGCTTCTCGCCTTTCTCTCCTTCCCACTCAGCCTGGCTGACCCTCACCGTCCTCTTGAAGTTATTCTGCGGTGTTCCCTTCTAGAGCAAGAGCTCAGTGTGGGCTTCCCTTGAGGGAAGGGAAGGGAGGAAACGGTGGAGTATTGGCAAAACCTCCC